CCCCCCTCCATGTTGCCGCTTCTACCTCCAATCCCGACCTCCGCCGCCTCCTCCATCACTTCTCCCTCTCTCTCTCTTTCTCTCGTCGAACCGAACCCTTTCTCTCTCGAGTCGCGTCAAAACAGCAAAGCCATCACGAGAAGCAGCACGTATTGTCGAACCGAACCCTTTCACTCCTGAGTCGCGTCAAAACAGCAAAGCCATCACGAGAAGCAGCCCGTATCGTCGAACTGAGTTGCATCGAACCGAGCCGCAGCACCTAAATACAACCCGACAACCGTCGTGGTCGATCGAGCCCCCCTTGGACGGCCCGATAGAAGTATCGCAAACGGTCCGGCACGGATCCCGAAAATTCTATCGGCCCGTCCAAGGTCAGGTCGCTCGCGGCACGAAAAACGTGCGCAGTGTCCGTTGGGCCCGCTTGTCAGTCCCGCCACGTTTCCCAAGAGTGCACAGCGGCCTCTCGCGGAAGCGTTACGCGAGGCTGTTTGCTTAAAGAGTTATGGAAAAGGAAGAAATTAAAACAAACTTAAAAAAGAACACAAGAAATCCCAGATTCCCCGAGGCGTTCATTCTCCTTCCACCTCCTCCACCTCCCTCAGGAGTCAGAACCCTGCAGATTAAAAAAAAAAAAAAAAAAAAAACTTTACAACTTTAAAACTTAAAAAAAGAGAAAAAGGACTCTGCAGATATTAAGATCAGTGCGAGGAATGAGCCCTTGCGGGGCCCTTGTCAGAAATCCAAGTGTTCTGGGATGCCGCCCCCAGCAAGCCAGTGCCCGCCCTAAGTGAAGGCGGGCCTGAATATCCACACGAGGCCTGTTCTCGACATTTTCCATATGTGGGTACTCAGACAGTTGCAGCACGCCAGTTGGTTACAGAGCAACGTGAGCGTTCAGGCTCTTCCAGAAGTAAAAGGGCTGCGCCGTACAGTTGAGCCCAGGGCTCAGGTTCTTGGGCCCTTGGGCACACGCTGTGTGAGGCTGACACATCATGGACTGGTTACGAGCCAATGAGGAAGCAGCATTGTCGTCACAGATGTGCCGCGAGCCAATGAGAATGCTGCAAACACTTGGAGGCTGGGTGGCTGCCTGGACGTGCCTAACTGCACGAGGCCGAGGCCAGTATCTGAAACTGGGCCTGGGCGCAGACACTTGGGGCCACAGGCAAGCTACTGGCCCCCCCCACATGCCTGGACAGGCCAGCCACCAGCGAACACTTTCCATATACGAAAGTGTGCCCCATGCGAGGGCATTCTGGCCTGAGCAGGCATTGCGGCCACGCTGCTGCTTTGCCGCGAGACACTGCGCTATGCAGACAGGCTGGGGCGCACATGGGCGCTCGCTAAGAGGCGAGAGGGCGCTGCAGTGGCAGCGGGCGCACTGCGGCCATAGACGGGCCGAGCGTGCCGTGGGGTGGTGGCGATGGTGGTCTTCGGGTAGGAGGCGCATACAGAGGGGATCCAAGGGGTGATGAGGGAAGGAGAGAGAGTGTACCTAGTGTATGCTGGTGGTCGGCATTGGTGTCGACGTCACGTGCACTGATCTTCGACTTCGATGTGATCCAGTCGCAAGAACGTAGATAGAGTAGATAGGCTGGGTAGCGTAGGCTGGGCGCTGGGCGCCAGGCAGTAGGAGCGACATTGGATACAGTGTTGGTGTGACCAGAGAGCGTCTGCATTGACACTCGAGTTCATTGTATTGACTCTTATTTGGATGGAATCTTGGTGCATTGTGCTCTCTGCTTGGTACATGACTATCTCGACGACTTCGTGATTTTGCAACTTGGTTTTCTCAACTTTTCTGTCTATTGCTCCTTGCTCACATTCCTTGCATCAGAATCATAGTCACGATTCATCAGGAAAAGAAAAAAAAAAGTTTTAAATAATGCTGCGGGAAGTTCTTAGGTAATTCTCAGAAATTCTCAGCTATTCAAAGCCGTCGGAATTTCTAAAGATTGAATTTTCTGAGGCATGAACGGATTCGACCTCTGAGGCATGAATGTATAGTACCGTGTTTCCGGTCCAAATACATGTTTAATAAATCCATGATCCCTCCTCACAACTTCCAGTCTAGAGATTCCTCCGAAGTTCAAAGGAGTTCAGAATCCTCAAAATTTCGAGATTTAAATTCATTTACTAGGTTACCTAAAAGTGGTTGGGGAAAAAGTAAAAAAAAAAAAAAAAAAAAAAAAAAAACATTTCCAGAGACATTTCGCCATCTCGACCACCTTCTCCATAAACCCACACCTTTTGAATAGTCGCAAACTTTTGAAAAAAAAATAATAAATTACGAAAATGACAAAATGACAAAATGTACATTTATGATTTCTCCAAATTTCCACAAATTTTCAGAAATATTTCGCCATCTGCAGCTCCTTCTGCGCAAAGCCGCACTTGGCATAAAATCCAATGTTCCGCTCATGGCAATCGAGAATCATCTGCAAGACCGAGAAAAAAGATGGACGCAAAACATGCCAAGCACACCCAAAAAAAAGAGTATATCAAAGACAGTTATTGACATATCATTATCAAAATTTCATACCATCTTTTCCTTTTTTTTATAATTAATTTGATATCATTATTATCATAATAATACCAGTACTATTGATTCAGTAGGCTTTTTTAATAATGCAAGTGGGCTAAGGCACGAAATACACCATGCAGATCACAAACGGCTGAGCAGGAGAGCAACTGAATGAGCGAAACAGGCAAAAAGATATAGCAGGCACACACAAACACACAGACAGACACACACACACACACACACAGAGAGAGAGAGAGAGAGAGAGAGAGAGAGAGAGAGAGAGAGAGAGAGAGAGAGAGAGAGAGA